AGACTCGTGGCTGCCTAGTGTGGGAAGGGCTGGTGAGGAGGGAGTGACTAGGGGGCACGGGACTTCTCTTTCAGAAGATGAAAATAACATGAAATTAGATGTGGTGCTGGCTGCACAGCTTTGTGAAACCCATTGTATTGTACACTTTAAACAGGTGACCTTGATGGCATGTAAATTATATCTCCATAAAGCCGTTAAAAAAAAAGAGGCTGCTGTCCTGAGCCCAACACCAAACACAAAACAGTGGAAAGTGGTGATCCTTTTAAATGTGCAGTGAGATAATTTTTTGACTTATTGTAGAAATGAGGTCTCACCAAGTTGCCCAGGCGGGTCTCGAACCTACGGGCTCAGGCATAATTCCATAGAATTAGAGAAGACAAACCAGATGATCAGTCCCCTAGCTTCATTCACCAGGCAACTAACTACACTACACTGATAGTTTCCTAAGACACTGCTAAAATGACCGTTCCAGGATATAATTGGTAAGTTACTTTTTCAAGGAGGTTAAGAATAGAATCCTAAGCTGGGCTCAGTGGCTCAGCCTGTAATCCCGCGCCTTAGGAGGCTGAGGTCAGTGGATTGCCTGAGTCTGCGAGTTCGAGACCCGCCTGGGCAACTTGGTGAGGCCTCATCTCTACAATAAATCAAAAAATTAGCCAGGGGTGGTAGCGTGCACCTGTATTTCCAGCTACTTGGAAGGCTGAGGCGGAAGGATCACCGGAGCCAGGCAGGTTGAGGCTGCGGTGGCCAGGAGCAGCCACTGCACTCCATCTGGGCAACAGAGTAAGATTCCAACTCAAAAAAAAGAATAGAATCCTTCCAGGAATGCCTATTAATATGTTTCAATTGATTTCTTCCTTCTGTATCCTGAAAATTAAACATACCAGGATGTGGACACATAATGTCCCCTACCAGAGTCCTACCTCTCCTGTGTTTTGTTTTTGTTTTTGTTTTTTTGAGTTGGAGTCTCACTCTGTCGCCCAGACTGGAGTGCAGTGGCCACTCCCGGCCACCTCAGCCTCGACCTGCTGGGCTCTGGTGATCCTTCCGCCTCAGCCTTCCAAGTAGCTGGAATTACAGGCATGCGCTACCACGCCCAGCTAGTTTTTGATTTATTGTAGAGATGAGGTCTCGCCAAGTTGCCCAGGCGGGTCTCGAAGCCGCGGGCTCAGGCAATCCACTGACCTCAGCCTCCCAAAGCGTGGGATTACAGGCTGAGCCACTGAGCCCGGCTCCCTCCTGTTTTTGAATATCTGATCACAAACATGCTGTAGGGCAGAATGTTCCAGTGTAGTGTGTGGTAACTATCTACCATAATTTACTCCTTAGGTTTCTAGGTATTTCCTATCTGGATATTAGAACATTTTTATTAATTCCAGCTTTTGCTATATCTATCATGCACATGTTTCTGAACTCCTAGCCTCACCTCACATAAAAAATAAACCACAGACTGGGAATAACAACATCCTCATCCCAAACCAAGGATCTAGGGGTAAAGAATTCCAAGAATTTCAAGCAACTGACATAAAACAGAACAAGCTCTGGGTAATTCATCTTCATTGGTGTGTCCATGTGATCAGTTCCACCCAAAGCAACACATGGCACTTCCCCACAAGGAAGAACAACACAGTTAATAGGACTCTCTTTCACAATGGAATGAGGAAGAAAACCAGGATGTGGTTATGGATATCACTGGCTTAGTGAAATGAGAAAGCAGCAACACTTCATTTGCATTTCATGACCCCAAGGCAAGCACTTTCCCTCACCTGCATCCAGTTTAATACTTAACCTACCTTCCCTTTCGCCACCCCTAACCCAGCATCAGAAAACAAACAGGATCCAGCACAAGGCTGAATGGCCCTTCCTTTCCCTCTAAAAGCTGGATTTGTATAAGAAAATGTCAGAAGTTGCGGTTTTAACTGCTAGTGCTATCTACTGTGAACATCCCACTGACATGTACTTGAGTTGCTTAGTACAATCCTCTCCACAAAGTGTGAAGACAAATGTCCTCCTGGATAATACATGCCTCCTCCTCCTACTTCCTCCGAGAAGCACAGGGTCATTTCCTGATGAACTCCATTTTATTCAGATTACTTTTTGGTTCTACATCTTCACATAATTCAATATGATTTGGTTCTACAACTTCGCATAATTCAATAATGATTTTGCAAAGGCCCATACATTTGAAGTGCTTGTTTCCACAACAAAATTAGAACTACGTAAGAATAAAATCTGGCAGCCAGGCTCGGTGGCTCAGCCTGTAATCCTGAGCTTTGGGAGGCTGAGGTGAGTGGGTTGCCTGAGCCCGCGGGTTCAAGACCGGCCTGGGCAACTTGGCAAGACCTCATCTCTACAATAAATCAAAAAATTAGCCGGGTGTGGTAGCACGTGCCTAGTTCCAGCTACTTGGGAGGCTGAGGCGGAAGGATCGCCGGAGCCGCCGGAGCCCAGCAGGTCGAGGCTATGGTGGCCGGGAGTGGCCACTGCACTCCAGTCTAGGCGACAGAGTGAGACTCCAACTCAAAAAAACCCCAAAAAACTGCCCCAGCTAGCCTAGGCAACATAGTGAGACCCCATAAAGAAAAAAGAAAAAAAAAAACCTGCCCCAGGCTCTTCACTACCTGCCAAACTCCTTAGCACAACTTTCAAAACACAATTTCTCATATAGTCACATTTCTGGTTCTTCCAAACTTTCCTCATGCCTTTGTGACACCACAATCAGCACTTCTCCCACCCCCAGACCTACATGTCAATTATTAACACATTTGTGATAGGCAAATTTTCACTTTACTGAGAGCAGGTGAAAATAAAAAAAAATCAGAAGCTGGTTGCCACAAACTTCTATTGTTAAACACAAGCAAGATGGTCTTTTCTAAATTGTCACCTTTTTAACAACACTGTTGAAAGTTGCAGATATATCCAGTATTTGCCTCAGACACCACTCTGACTAGCATTCCATACTTTGTATTTTTATTCAGATTATAAACCCTTAAAGACAGTCTTTCACGATGAGGTAAATCACATCAGCGGCAACCAAGAACAGAATTTGGAATGATGTGAATTCATGACAGTGGTCGCGAATGAGTTAAGTTTATACTATGTGATAGGTAGGCATGAGAGGGCCTTGTGGATACAGAGTTTTTAGCATGAATATATAAGTAAAACTTGAGCTACCATCAGTCACAACTGCCATCAACGCAGTCTAGTAGGAGGATCCAGGCCTGTGAACAAGTAACTGCAACCCTGTACAACAGGGTAAGTGCATGGCAAGTAGTAACTGAGAGGTGTCTGAAATCAGCATACTGAGAATGAACTCCAGGTGGACACACTCAGGCACAGAATAGAAGGAGAATCAAAAGAATTGGTTAAATATGTTTGCAATGATGAAAACTAGTTTGGCCTTCTGGACCAAGTTCTGGATGTAGGGCTTTGCCTGCATTCGGTATTCAAAAAAATACCTTCTTGGCCGTGCGCAATAGCTCACATCTGTAATCCCGGCACTCTGAGAAGCTGAGGCAGGAGGACTGCTTAAGCCCAGGAGTTTGAGACCAGGCTGGGCAACATAGTGAGACCTCATCTCTACAAAAAAAATACAAAAATTAGCCAGGCATGGCGGTGCTCACCTATAGTCCCAGCTACTCAAGAGGCTGAGGCAGAAGGATGACCTGAGCACAGGAGGTCAAGGCTGTGGTGAGCCAGGATGACTGCACTCCAGCCTGGGGTACAGTGAGACCTTGTCTCCCTTCTTAATGAAATTAGCTTTTGGGCATTAAGGGTAATGAGCAGAATGGCCACCGCATGCTGCCCACACTGGGATGTGGGCACAGGATGACAGGGGGGAGAGGAGGACTGCACTGCCTTCCCTAGGAGCCAGTCTTTCAGGCCAAACCCATCCTGAGTGGTTCTGTCTTCCCCGCAGCTAACAAGGTTCTTTCTCTCCCACATTTTCCTGGTGCACTCTTCCCCTTCATACCATGAGACCGCCACCCATTTCCTGAAGCTTCTTATACAGACCGTGTCCACTGGCTCCTCTCAGTGATGCCCTTCTCACCCACACGTTTTCTTCCTCTAAGGCACCATAAAGGTGAGAAGTATGATGGACAACAATGCAAAAGCCCCACATCTTCAGTGCTTCTCCAACCTGGCGCTTTCTCTGGGGTATTCTCCAGAATGGCCTCTCCCTATGTTCCGTATCAAGAACAAACAGGTTTTCTTTTTAATAAAACCAGGCATTTTTTGCCCTAATTGTACTTATTTATTGAGAATAGGTAATACGTATGTAATGTGTAAAACTCCAGAGGTGAGCTTCAAGTCAGTGACAAGTTTAAAAACAACAAAAAAGGAAAAACCCCAACAGCACAAATGAATATAGAGAAAAGCCAAGCACAGTGAATGAGTCCCTCCTCCCAGAGAGGACGTGAGCACCTCAGCTCTCTGTTACTAAAACAAGACTGCTTTCTCCTGTCAACAATCACGTGGCCACATTCAGTTTCAGGCCTTGTTTGTTTGGAAATAGGAGCTCATCTGTGAACCTGACAACTATATGTAATACATCTAGAGAAAACACGTCATCAGTTCTAAAGAGCACAATCTTTTCAGAAAATTGAAAACACAACTCAGGATACAGTATGAAGTGTGGGCTTCAGCACAGCTCTTGGCTTGTCACGGTCCCGTGCCCACATACCAGCCCTGGCACTAGGCATCTTAGAAAGCATTACTTAGCTTGTGAATGTTAGCTTTTTAATCCACAAACTAGGGATAGTGATGCCTACCTCACTAGGTTCTTACAGTGATTAAATTTAAAACATTAAATGCTTTGATTTCTCCATGACTTTAATCTTATTTTCAGCTTTCTTTGTGGAAAGTTTTCATTTAACTGCAGCTGGAATATTCTTATCTTAATGTGTACCCAAATTTCTAAGGGAACAATTTTGTTCAGAAATACTAAGATTTCTATAAAGGGCTTCTATTTACAGAATCAAAGACTGCCTAACAATTACCTTTTGTTCTTCTCTTTCTGTTGCATGGTGACACTTCTCAATTCTCCAATGCCTTAAGAAATCACGAAGATATCCAAAGAGGGTGAGTACACCATATCCCACATATGTGAGCACAGCAACCAGCATAGGAGTTTCTTCAAAAGCTTCATTAAATGGTCTTTTATACAATCCTCCATTTTGTGTAACATGATGGATCTAAAAGAGAGGATGAAAATATTTATTTTGAACACAGTAAGAAAAAGGTTTCTGCTTAAAATCTGAGTCCTCAGAGATCTGCAGAATTATACCTCAAGAATTTTGTAAGTAATAGTCAAATGAAACCCTACAATCCAAGCAAGGCATACTTCTTTTCAGATGAACAGTTAAAAAAAAGCTGGGCTCAGTGGCTCAGCCTGTAATCCCAGCACTTTGGGAGGCTGAGGTGAGTGAATTGCCTGAGCCCGCGGGTTCGAGACCCGCCTGGGCAACTTGGTGAGACCTCATCTCTACAATAAATCAAAAATTAGCCGGACGTGGTAGCGCGCGCGTGTAGTTCCAGCTACTTGGAAGGCTGAGGCAGAGTATCGCTGGACCCAGCAGGTCAAGGATGCGGTGGCTGGGAGCGTGCTACTGCACTCCAGTCTGGGTGACAGAGTGAGACTCCAACTCAAAAAAAAAAAAAGGGGAGTGAGAAGGGCTGCCTAAGAACAATGCCTAGCACTGATTCTTATCATTATTTAATTTTCTGAAACAGTTCCTAAAATATTATGATTGGACAATGCATAATTTCCTTTGTTGTAATAAGGAAAACAAAAAAATATAAATCAGGGCTGGGTGCAGTGGCTCATGACAGTAATCCCAGCAATGTAGAAGGCCAAGGCAGGGGGATCACTTGAGGCTGGGAGATCAGTCTAGGTAACAGGGTGAGACCCTAACCCTACAAGACAATAAAAATGTAGCTGGGCACTGGTGGTAGAGCAAGACGCTGTCTTAAAAAAAAAAAAAAGCATATATAAATACACACACACACACACACACACAGAGAGAGAGAGAGAGAGAGAGAGAGAGAGAGAGAGAGAGAGAGAGAGAGAAATCAATCAACAAAGAGAAAATTTATCCTGGAAAATACTATATTAGCTTACAAATAAAGTGGTCAAAAGTTTAAAAGTAGGCCAGGCACAGTGGCTCAAGCGGGTATCCCAGCACTTTTGGGAGGTGGAGGCAAGAGGATTGCCTGAGTCCAGGAGATCGAGACCAGCCTGAGCAACTTGGTGAGACCTCGTCTCTACAATAAATAAATAAATAAAATTAGTCAGGTATGGTGGTGTGTGTCTGTATTTCCAGCTACTTGGAAGGCTGAGGTGGAAGGATCACCTGAGCCAGCAGGTTGAGGCTGCGGTAGCCATGAGCATGCCACTGCACTCCAGCCTGGGTGACAGAGTGAGACTCTAACTCAAAAAAAAAAAGTTTAAAAGTAAATTCAGTTTTAGTATGTATAATATTTGTAAATGGGTTTTTGTTTTGTTTTGTTTTTTGGAGGCAAGGTCTCATTCTGTCACCCAGGCTGGAGTGTGGTGATGAGAGCATAGTTCACTACAGCCTGAACTCCTGGGCTCGAGCCACCCTCCTATCTCAACCTCCCACCTCAGCCTCCTGAGCAGTTGGGACTCCATGCAAGCGCCACGGCACCTAGCAATATTTGCAAATGTTTTACTGCCACACATTATTAAAGCTACCCAGTCACAGTATTCCAAATAATTCCAAATAATAGTACTTGGCCTCTGTAGAAACATGTGACTCATCTTACCCTTTGTTGCTAGTGACAACACAAATAAATTATGCAAAAAAGTAAGATGCTTATAGAAGTATGGCCCAGCATCGTATAAAAGTAGAAAGTGAATTGGAACACAGAGAGAAATGGTGAGAAGGATGAGTAACTGTCATGAATTCATCTGTCCCCCTTCATCTTGAACTAAGCATCTACTTCCAAACACTGCATAACTATCCCTTCTTTTAACCTTTGGGATATTTGGATTTTAAGATACAAAAACCAAGCTACTTTACTTTTGATATCATAGATTAAAACTATTCACTTTTTGGTCAACTTTAACGAAACTTTGTTTTACAAAAGAAACTCACTAGACAGGAAGTTTGTGTGTTAACTTTAATCTGAACTTTGGAATAACAGCTGTGGGCATCGTCCACCATAAATGACTAGGCACATGTTGTCAATTTCGCCTTATATTAGAGTTATGAAAAGTCCCAAAGAATTAAGAGATCCCTCCTTGCCCTCTCAGGCAACCTAATTAGAGATATGATAGAAACACATGAAAGCAAATTAATGAAAATTTACATTAACTATACAAATTGCTATATATATCCAAGGGCTAAAGATATTTTAGAATATCGTACTCTGGCGATGCCACTTTGGAAAGTTGCTTGAAGGTTGTCAGTTGGAACAGTTTGGAAAGACAAAAGAAAGGCATTCAGGCAGGCATGACATATGGATAAGATCTGCTGGTGCTGATTCAACTTGATGACCTAAATAAGTACTTCTGGAAACTATTTATAAAACTGCTTTAGGTCTTTCCATCTCTTCTACCAAGGGGTGGGAGTTCGTGTTAATATTCAAAACAGAAACTTGAATACAGGGGTAAGGTTGCAACGGGTTTAGAAGAGAATAGCTAGAAATAAGCCAATATCGGAAAATTTTTTTAATTGTTTAAAAGTTAACAACATGCCGGGCTCGGTGGCTCAGCCTGTAATCCGCGCCTTTGGGAGGCTGAGGTGAGTGGATTGCCTGAGCCCACGGGTTCGAGACCCGCCTGGGCAGTGAGACCTCATCTCTACAATAAATCAAAAAATCAGCCGGGCGGCATGCCTGTAATTCCGACTAATCAGAAGGCTGAGGTGGAAGGATCACCGGAGCCCAGCAGGTCAAGGCTGCAGTGGCCGGGAGCGACCACTGCACTCCAGTCTGGGTGACAGAGTGAGACTCCAACTCAAAAAAAAAAAAAATTTAACAACATAATATTAAAAAGCTATTAATTAGCCGGATGTGGTAGTGCACGCCTGTAATTCCAGCTACTTGGAAGGCTGAGGCGGAAGGATCGCCGGAGCCCCAGCAGGTCGAGGCTGTGGTGGCCAGTCTGGGTGACAGAGTGAGACTCCAATTCAAAAAAAAAGCTATTCAGCTTGCCAGAGAAAAATAAAAAGCAGTTTAAAAAACAAGAACCGAGCACGGTAGCTCACGCCTAGAATTCCAACACTTTGGGAGGTGGAGGCAGAGGATTCCTTGAGCCTAAGGATTCGAGACCAGCCTGGGCAACTTGGCGAGATCTCATCTCTACAACAAATCAAAAAATTAGCCGGCTGTGGTGGTGTGCACCTACAGTTCCAGCTACTTGGAAGGCTGCAGTACAAGGATCGCCTGAGCCCAGCAGGTCAAGGCTGTGGTGGCTGTGAGCGTGCCACTGCACTCCAGAAAGGATGACAGAGTGAGATGACTCTAAATAAATAAATAAATGGCAAGAGAAATAAGTCTGCTCATCTCTTTAAAAAACCATATCTGAAAGTACTTCGCCTTACCAACACTGTGTTTAGTATCAGTGCCAAACTCTCCTTAACTATGAAATTATGTAAACTATTTACTCTCAATTGTACATATCATTAAAAGGCAGGAAAATGACAGAGCCCCACAGACTCCAGCTACTGTGCAGCCAATTTACAGGTCAAGAATGCTGTGGGCGGATCTCTATTAAAAAGATATGCCTTAGCCGGGCTCGGTGGCTCAGCCTATAATCCTGCGCCTTTGGGAGGCTGAGGTGAGTGGATGGCCTGAGCCCGCGGGTTCAAGACCCGCCTGGGCAGTGAGACCTCATCTCTACAATAAATCAAAAAATCAGCAGGGCATGGTAGCACATGCCTGTAATTCCGGCTACTTGGAAGGCTGAGGCGGAAGGATCGCCGGAGTCCAGCAGGTCGAGGTTGCGGTGGCCGGGAGCGGTCATGCACTCCAGTCTGGGCGACAGAGTGAGACTCCAACTCAAAAAAAAAAAAAATATGCCTTGACGTCAGACACACCCAAATGAGAGGACCAAGTAAATTCATACTGTAGGCTGGACTATCTAGGAAGAAGGAAGTTAACACATTATTAAGTAGTGTGTGATTCTATCAAATCCTTATTTAAAATTAAGTGTATCTTAAAGAATGGAGGTTCAGGCTGGGCTCAGTGGCTCAGCCTGTAATCCCGCACCTTGGGAGGCTGAGGTGAGTGGATTGCCTGAGCCCGCGGGTTCAAGACCCGCCTGGGCAACTTGGCGAAACCTCATCTCTACAATAAATCAAAAAATCAGCAGGGCATGGTAGCACATGCCTGTAATTCCGGCTACTTGGAAGGCTGAGGCGGAAGGATCGCCGGAGTCCAGCAGGTCGAGGTTGCGGTGGCCGGGAGCGGTCATGCACTCCAGTCTGGGCGACAGAGTGAGACTCCAACTCAAAAAAAAAAAAAATATGCCTTGACGTCAGACACACCCAAATGAGAGGACCAAGTAAATTCATACTGTAGGCTGGACTATCTAGGAAGAAGGAAGTTAACACATTATTAAGTAGTGTGTGATTCTATCAAATCCTTATTTAAAATTAAGTGTATCTTAAAGAATGGAGGTTCAGGCTGGGCTCAGTGGCTCAGCCTGTAATCCCGCACCTTGGGAGGCTGAGGTGAGTGGATTGCCTGAGCCCGCGGGTTCAAGACCCGCCTGGGCAACTTGGCGAAACCTCATCTCTACAATAAATCAAAAAATCAGCAGGGCATGGTAGCACATGCCTGTAATTCCGGCTACTTGGAAGGCTGAGGCGGAAGGATCGCCGGAGTCCAGCAGGTCGAGGTTGCGGTGGCCGGGAGCGGTCATGCACTCCAGTCTGGGCGACAGAGTGAGACTCCAACTCAAAAAAAAAAAAAATATGCCTTGACGTCAGACACACCCAAATGAGAGGACCAAGTAAATTCATACTGTAGGCTGGACTATCTAGGAAGAAGGAAGTTAACACATTATTAAGTAGTGTGTGATTCTATCAAATCCTTATTTAAAATTAAGTGTATCTTAAAGAATGGAGGTTCAGGCTGGGCTCAGTGGCTCAGCCTGTAATCCCGCACCTTGGGAGGCTGAGGTGAGTGGATTGCCTGAGCCCGCGGGTTCAAGACCCGCCTGGGCAAC